AACTTTATTCTAGACAAGGAACTGTCATACAAAGCTCACAATGCAGCCACAACACAAGTATGGGGGTTCGCGCTCCCAAAAAAATCCCCATCAAATCTGAGCTTTCCTCACCCAGGGCTATGCTCGACTCTTTAACTGTGAACTGATTTTAACATTCACTCCTAAGTTCCTCTTCTGAGCATGACATGAACAGCTAAATGCCTCCAGTTAAGTGTAACTGTCAGATTTCTCAAGTGAGACAACGCACAGTTTACCCGTCTATCTCACTTCACACGCCATTATTCATCCGCTTCCATGCGACATGCTGTGATTAGAATAGACGGCTTTGCTTACAGACAGCGAATTTCAACAGTAGATGTCAGTTTTCTCCCTTAGAGACAACATGACAGACACATATTGGAAGCAGGTTCCTAATATCAACTTCAGTGTCATCTGGAAAAGCAACAAGTAAGCGTAGCAGAAAACACACACATTCATGCTTTTAGGCAGAACACGAAACGCACCATCACTGTTGGTCACATGGCCTTATAAATACGGCAGTCTACAGTAAACATAAGGCTTTAGCGGGTGACATTGGCCGTGGTAACACCTGTCTTTTCAATGTGACTTTTGTCATCGGTTGCGCCAGCATAGTGTTCACACTTGAAACTTCAATGCAACCTGTCTGATCGGATATAATTTGTGGTCAAGGGAGCAGCTGTAAAACTGTGGATGAACGCATTTAATTTCCTTTAAATGAATCACAGTAAAATTCCCCTGTTGAATTGAAGAAAAGCCGGCATTGCAGGACGAGGGATGAGAGGATCATAGAAGACCTCAATGAATTCAACAACAGACTGTTCTCTCTGCTGCTGTCAGGGAGAGACTTCTGCTGCCTGAAGGCCAAAACAGAGAGGATGAGGAGTTTCTACCCTTAGGCCAGTGAACCAGTGACTTTCTTCAATCACCTGACATACATTTTATAGAATATTCGGTATGGATAGGTGGTTATATTTTTTTCAAACTTATACGGTTTCATTACGTCACTGTTTAATTTTTCCTAAACGTACCGATTATTGTTTTATCGTTTATTTTTGAAAAGTATTTTTCTGTCTAGTATTCCAGTCTATTCTTTTGTATTTGCTTTATCACTAGGCACAAAAGCATTTCACTACACGTTGTTTAAAGATAAGCAACAAGCAGACATGATCATAGTCAAATTTGTGATTTGTGATATACAAAATAAATTGAATTGAAAATCTAAAAACAACAACATAGACTTCGTAGGAGACCAAATGTAAACAACTGACCCTGTTGTCATTGTAAGACCAACCCAACCACCCACCCCCAACCTCATCCCTAAAAGGCATTGTGGTGCTACAACAACAACGTCGCTCTGCTGCCGCCATTTCTTCTCAACAAATAACGTCATTATTCACACCAAGAGGTCACAGCCCCGAAGCTACAAACTCTTCTATCTTTAAGGTGGACCAGTTATTCTCCTTTAATAATCGGTCAAAATACTTATTTTATGTTGGTTACGTTTAAACAGACGATTACCCACATACACACACACACACACACACACACACACACACACACACACACAGTACACTTGCAATATGAAAACCAACTGGTATGTGTGACAGGAACAAGACAAGCAGACTACAAATATGGACAGAGTATACGCACACACAGACACACATGTTGAAATCACAAAGCCATTTCATGTACCTACAGCATTAACAAGCTTCATTCTATTTTGGTTCAAAACTCACTTTAACATTGCGGCATACTGGTCAGATGATCAGTCTGAATAACTGACAGCCCGCCGGGGACTCAAGAGGAGACAATGCTCCTTCTGTCAGGGAGGACAAATAGCTGTGGGATATTTGATTAAGTCTGTGAAGTGCTGTGAAGATATTCTCTCTTGACAAACATTTCACGTCAAACAGCTCTCGACAAGTTCTTTCCCTCTCGTCTATCGACACTCTGTGTGCCTCAGTGCTGCATTGGACTACTGCCCAGCATTTACAACTCTATTTCAAACTGTCATTATGCAAAGCTAAAAAGAAGGGGTCTGCTGTTGTTCCGTTCGCTGTCTGCTTAGTGAAACACATCATGTCATCAAAAACCTCCTGTTATTTGATTGCTCATTACCAAGCTTGTCTTCTTGTCATCTTCACAAAAGGCCGCAACAGATTTGTGCCGTCACATGGACACAACACATAAATATGAATTATACGGCTTTAGGGATATGGCTGCTTAGCATATGAAACGGCTTCTCTGGTAGGGCAGTCAATGAGTAAGCTAGCTCCCTTCACCAGCTACCCAGCCTTTGATTGCAATCATTCAGCACTCACTCTCCATTTCCTCAATTTCTCTGTGATCTCTGCCACTTCACTTATTTAATCAGAGCCAAGATTGAAGCCATTAGCCGCCTATTCTCCAGAGCTGACAAAGTCTACAGGGTGGGAACAGAACCAAACTGGAAGTAGAACTGAAACGTTCCAAAGCCAGAAAGACAACTGACCAAACTGACAAGGATGAATTCCAAAAACTATCACTTTATAAGCGTACCCAATAAATTAGGAGAGCTATATACAGAAGGCATTGAACCGTCACTAAGCTCTTGGCAGGATATGTAGCAGTTTATAGACATATTGGCTGTTGTTGGAATCTGAAGTTATGTTTTTGTTGTCGTTTGAGTTTATACCGGCCTCAAACTATCCAACATAAGCGTTTTCACAGGACCTTGTTTATTGAACTTTGTGCCATGCTGTTATCCTGCCAAGTTACGGATTTGATGGCAGAGGGAGTCGAAAACAAATTCAGTTGGTCCCACTGGCGTCAGTGTGATGGACTTATCTCTCTTTGGCGTAATTGGCTGGTCACAAAACCCCTTCCCAATAAGGGATTGTGCAATCATAGCTTGGCAACTGTAGCTAGGCACAGCGGGTCTGTCAAGCTTTGGATTTTTTTTGGAAACATTGTGCATGAGGGCAAGAGAGATACCTTGTTTATAAAGAGTTTCTTTCCAAAACCGAAAACACAAGAGCAAAGATGCATGGAATGGATTAAACAGTGCATTTTTGGGCTCTAACACAAGACCAGCTAACAAGCCGACTAGCCTCAGATGCAAAGAATCTGCCTGTCTGGTGAAAGCCGAGTGCTATATTAATGTGTTCATGCAAATGCTGCAATGTGAGTATTGCGGCATGTAATGTAAATGTAATGAGTGACAACACAGGAGTCTACAGGAATGCACGAGTTTACATCATAGTCAGTATAATGTGCACTGAACAATGCAGGAAAAGAGCACCTTAACACACGGTGTATCCTATTTTATAGACCCTTATAAACACGAATAAATATGTATATACCATATATGTGCTAAAATGAAAATATCTACATATAGAGGAGACCTATGGAAATATGGGGTTTCATTAAGGAGAGAGAGAGACAGAGCGAAGAATATTTTTCTTGGGGGGGATGATGACTGATATGTTGTTTTTCCCCTTCAGTAATGTACTTATATACATGTGAACGGTACTTTCTTAGAATACCATCACTTCACTTCACCTCCCTTGTAAAACAGAGAAAAAAAAACCTGCATTTTTTTTTGTAAGTGTCTCCCTGTCGGTGTGTGCCTCCATGGACAGTTGAGTGATGGCTGCAGACATGTGGCCACCAGGTAGAGATACACAAGGTTGTGGAGGATGAACGTTTTTGTCAGCTTGGACCTTTGTCCATGTGAAGGTCACTGGCTGTACATACAAGCAACAAGCACATATAAGAGTAGTATTCATCTTCTCATTTAACTTTCCGCAAGCATGCAAATAACTGTATTTTATACAAATGTCAATCTATTGCTTTAAATAGTTGAATAAATATTATCACTGAAAATCGATGGGAATGATGGTCAAATTCCAGAAGAGGGACCAAGTGTGCTCACATCTTTGCAAAAATACTAAACTGCAGCACAAAGAAAGTTTGCCTCCAAATGAAAGAGTTTTTTTTTTTTCTTTTCAAGGCGGCATTTTCATCTACAAGTGTGAAAGAGAAAAACAAGCATAGAGGCAGAAATCAAATCAAATCCTTATCACCTGCTGGTCAGCAAACCGCAGGGAAAACTAGAATTACTACCTCGCCGTTTTATGCCTCTGACAACCAGTAAAGTTGCAGTTTTTATCATTTCTGTCCAAAAACTTAGCACTTCATAATGTTATCCTGTTAGACAGTTGTGTGAAATTGTCAAAGCATGAGCAACAAAGTATGAGTAATGGCCAAAATGAGTTTTGAGAGGTCACTGACCACCAAATCAGTTCATCCTTGAATCCGAGTGGATGCTTGTGCCAGATGTAATACAATTCCTGACAGACATTCCTGAGATATCACATTCACGAGAAGGAGACATACATGAGGTCACAGTGACCGTGACATTTGAAAACCAAAATCGAATCAGTTCATTCATTTGAGTTCAAGTCAAAGTTTGTGCCAACTTCAAAGAAGTTTCCTCAAGGCTTTGCTGAGAAATTTCGACAACTCTGGCTGTCGCTAGAGTGGAAGCATAAAACTTAATGAAACCCAAGTTGTAATAATCCAGAATTGTGTAAATTATGAGAACACACATTGTATGAAAGCAATGTGTGTTTGTCTATATTTGCACAACCTAAATCCAATTTAGCAGGATTAACAAAGCGCACTGTCATTTTCTGCTTCTTCTGTCTCCTCCTCTTCTGTAGAAATAGACAAAGAAAAGGCAGCTCTCTGTTCCTCTCTCTACACCTTTCAATCCCCCACTTCAACCTTTCTGGAATGCACTCTATTCTGTCACTCACTGCATTGTTTTTCCTAGATTCCTCTCCTCCTTTTCTAGCTTCTATTTCCAATAGGGAAAAAATGGATGCCTTGTGGCAGCAAAAGTCAAACACCTATATAGTGTCAGAGCACTTTGTGTCATTACTAGCTCACTAAAGTATGATTTCTTATCTTCGCTCTCTTTCCCTGGCTGTCTGCAGGTGAGCGGGATCAATCCATCCATGAGCAGGAAACGTGAGCAGCGCGTGCTATTCATGGTGGTGATCATGGTGATCTGCTACCTCTTGTGCTGGCTGCCGTACGGCATCATGGCCCTGATGGCCACCTTCGGGCCGCCGGGACTGGTGACGCCTGTGGCGAGCATCATCCCCTCAGTCCTGGCAAAGACGAGCACGGTCATCAACCCAGTCATCTATGTGTTTATGAATAAACAGGTGAGAGTGGGGTGGGGCTGCTGCAGGATGAGGTCATCTTGCCTACTGAGGCCAGTTGTCTCGATTGTTTTCACTGTGGTTTGATATAATGGAAATGAGTCATTGTTTCATTATTCACATCAGATGTTATTCCAGTGCCTTCTCGACACTGAATAATCTAAATTATGTACCTGTGTATGAATGATGAATAACAAGGTGTTTTTCCACATCTGAATCCAGCTATTTGTTACAGATTTGAGGCAAAGGTGCATCATGTGGCATCACAAGGTCCAACATCCAATTATTTAATGACATCGACAATTCAATAAGACGACAGAGGCCACGTTGGGCAAATCAAATATATTCTGTAATCACCCAACTCAAGCCTTTCATGTGATTCTAACCAATTCCTAGTAACTGACTGTTTGTCAAACCAGAAGGGTTATTTGCAATGTCATGAAGTCACCCGTCGCCTGAAGTGTTGACAATTAGTCTCACAATGCTCAATTAACCTTGACCCATGCCCTCCTGATGAATCACTGAAGGAGTTATAATCTTTAATTTGGAGCTCCCATTTTGAGCTTGTTGTTATAAGTGGCCTGGGACTATTATTATAACTGCTCTACTACTTTGTTACATTTAATCTCTTCATTTTCACAGGTTTATTAGCATTATAACTGCTGAACATATTTCTTTTTCAAGTTGTGTATTCCCCTAATATACGGCTTGAATAATATTAATATTTCAAAACTTGGCTTCAAATTAAGCATTTCAAGGGTAAAAAAAGGGAAAATACGCGTATTGCCGTTTTACGCCGTGTTAATGTGTTAATGCACTTTAGAGAAGCTTGTACGCATATTTTGTGACCTGCAAACAGAGGAAGGCCAGCTGTTTCCCCCTTTGTGCAAAGCAAAGATGCTACTGGCTGTAGCTTTATATTTAGATATCTAGCCAACTCATCTCATCTAATTATCTGCCAGAATGCTAAAAAGCTTATTTCCCAAAATGTCGAACTAAATAAGAAACAAACTAAGTTTAAAAAAAACACATCTTTAGGTTGCATTATCCGCTTCATCAGGACTGTGTGGGTGGTTTGATCGGATTTGATTGACAGTGACCAAACAATGTATTGATTGCTGTTGGGACGTAGATAGACTTTCAGCATATTTAAAAAAAAAAAATGTTTTGGAAGAAAATTACAAACCCAAACTTTTCTGCCCCAACTTGTGCAGAATATGCTAAACTTTTTGGGCCATCAGCTTCTAAACTAGATAGCGCTGGCCCTGCTCAGGCTTGTTTGGCCGGAGGGCCAGAGAGACAGGATGAAAGTTAAAAGGCAGTCAGGGTTGGGACGTGAACTCCACCATCAAACATGTTTCATCCATCATTCCTTGTGCTATGCCACTAGTGGCCAACATGTGGACAACCACATCTGAAGTTAGATGCACATACATACATACTGAAGTATTGATTAAGGACTGTGGGACACAAAGCCTTTGTATGCAAATAATTAATCACAGCAGACCTTTAAAGTAGTGTCACATTATTGTGCGACTCAGGCTTTGCTTGCGTTATTAAATAACTTGCTTCACTGTAGAGCTTTAAACATAGTCGCTACAGTTCACTGCTTTAGCAGCTACAACAACTTAGTTCTGAAAGTCATTTGAAAGTAATTTGTTAATAACTTGATTGATTAATCATCACAAAATTCAGAGTTTGATCACTCATTTATTACTTTATTAAAATAGTTTACCAAGGCTGGATGACCAACTGGGCCCTAGACCCTTATTGGACGTGGGGGTTAAGATAAATCTGAGAGGACACTGGTTGATTAAAAAAAAAAATAATTACGTTCCATAAATTGCTTTTGCTTGTTTTCTTGTGAAGTGATGGATAATTTGACCTCTTCAGGCCTCTAAAATCATTCAAATGAAACAATTGAGGGGGACAAAAATTACTCTTTGGTTTAATTGTTGAAAAGTGAGGAACAAAGTGAAGATATAACCTTTGCCTCATTTAAAAGGGGTCTCAAGCCAAAATGGAGCCACTGACAGGGGCGCTGAAGGCTTCATGTTCACTGTGTGGCAATTAGTTTGTGATAATAGGATTAACTCAGTTTGTTTGGAAACCCCACAAAAGCCAGGGTATCGCAAGCCCATCGGCCAGAAGTCAGTAGAAGACCCTAGCCACGTTACTATGTCTTGTTTGCCACGTGCTGGCAATTTGTCTGCCGGGAACCCTGAAAACACGATATAAACTGCAACAATAATAGTGGACAACTGTTTATTACCTCATTTTGAGGACCCGTTTTGTAGAGGGGCCTTCATTTTTTCAATTTTTACTATACATGGTCTATAATCCTAAAAAAGTTAAAGTCAAATTACCACATAAGAATGATCAGAATAGAGAGGCCCTGGGACATCCTTGCAGGTTAATCCAGTTCCTTTGTTTACACACTTCCTCATTAACATTGCTGGCTGCCTTTGTGTTATATTCAGGTTGTTTTAGTCTTAAAGCCTGCATTAATCATTGACACGCCAATATCCACAATCGTTTATGAATATTAAACCAAACAAATGCACAAGAGCAATTATTTCTGTAATGGCTTGCCAACCTCCGTGAATATGGAACTGCTGTATGCTTTGCGTCTGTGTTCTCCCAAGTATGTGATAACAGCAGCTGCAAAAATGTCCACAGATCCTACTTGTTATTCCCACAGGGAAGTTTCCCTGTCGACAGATTGTATTTACAGAACATATGACATGCACGCAGCATCAGCATACTGCAGCAGTCAGTACTTTTCAGCTATACCTTATGCTGCAATATTGTAAGCAATGGCTAATCAAAAATGTGATTTTGGGTTTGACTGCTGGAGACGGTCCTGGCTCTCTGGGTGTGTTTGGGTGAAGCGCTGCAATTTGAACAAAATCCATCCACATTATAGACAAACTAGCAAAATAAGGGCCTAGTCGAAAATTGAGTTGAACTTTCTTCGTGTCCAACTTATAAAAGAGTACAAAAGCAGATATTGACTTTTTGCTGTGTGTACCTGGTGTATTAAGTTTTTTAGCTGTCATACAACCTCGAAGCGTAACTCCTCAGTAACGGAGGCCAAAGTTGTTTAAAGAACTTAAAACCATTAATATCAAATATTTGTAATATCAAATCCAAAGCAAAGGTAACTGCAAGCGACTCTTGTCCTTGGATAAAAGATGACAATATTACTTTCACCGACTGAACGCCTTATAGTTTAAGACATTTAATGTCCATTTCCTAGATTTAGGAGTCATATTTTGGTCTGGAACTTAACTTGTCAAACTTTGTACTTTATTTTTCCACTTCCTCTCTCTTGCAAAAGTCTTTGTACAGAACCGTACATTCACACTTTAGATTTAAGATGTTCTTTCCCGCCACGCTGTTCATCAAGGTGAGAAAAAAAAATAACATAGATAACCAGCGGATTGTCTTCCATTCCCACTGCGGCAGACTGATAGAACTTTTCTTCTCAATGTAATCTTTATCATCCCATTCGGTTCTTTTAAGTGAAGCACAAAATGCTGTCTAAAGGTTTTAGAAAATATTCTCTTCAGACTCAGAATTTCATGTACTAGACAGAGAATTATATACAGTACTGAGTATTGGAGAGTAAATGTTATCACAGCTTCCAAAGCAAATCAAGTGTTACTTTCAAGTTCAAACTTTCCTCTTACGGTCAAAAGTTATTATATTGTGAAGTTGGAAATCAACACAAAACTACACCCTGTTCCAGATGTTGCAACGTCAGCTGGAGGTATACGAGAGCCTCCATTGCACTCCCATCTGTTCCATCTCACACCGCCTTCCGACTCAAGCCCACGCCGCAGCTATCCGACCTTACAGGGACACCGTGACGGCGTGAGAGAGCAAAAGCGGGAGAGAAGGACACCGAATGTCCTGTATGTCATTTTCAGTCTTCAATTCCTCCCAGCCCGTTACTATGGAAACTGTGAGTTGAGGCGAGTTGAAGACTAAAAATGCTGTACAGATACAAGTAGCAGCTGGCGCGTGTTTGTCCACGATGAACGGCGCTCACAGACAAGAGGCCTGAGGTGGATGTCAGGGACGTGCACAGAAAAACGCACGAATTATGGGTAAGTTCACACTGAATCATCTTTTTATTTCATGTGAATACATTATGGTTTGTACTGTATGCTCGCCGAGTGTGGTTACACAAAATAGTGTACATGGGAGAGGACTTAAACATTGAAGGAATATCTCAACAGTTTTTTTGAGATGAGTCTATTCACTGTTCTTTGAGAGTTAGATGAGAAATGTGATGTGCCTCTCACATCTGTCATCTAGCTTAGCATAGAGTGGAAAAAGGGGGGAAACAGCTAACTTTGCTTTGTCCAAAGGTAGCAAAATCCACCAGCACCTTTAAGGCTCACTAATTCACAGCCCATTTCTTTAATCAGTTCAAAAACTGTGTAAAAACTACAATCTGTAGTTTAAAAGGGGGTTATGTGCCAGCCTATGTCTTGGCCAGGCAAGTGACTTCACATAAATAATACATTTTCCCAGAAGTCCAAGCAGAGTGATATTCGGAACTTTGAATTTAATTAGAAAACCTTCGATAGCAGCGTCAATGTCACCTGTAGTGGTCTCATTTGTTGTCATCATTACTCTGTTCCAGCGCAAAGCTCACAACAGCTTGACAATGGCTTAAGTGATCGACCATTAATGACTTAATGGTCGATTACTCTTATATCAAGAAATTGCTGATGCCAAAACAATCAGTTGACCCGAACTCGGTGGAGTGGGCAGATTCAAAAGGTCTGGCAAGTCATTTTTAGCTGTGGAGCTTTTCAACACAGCATGAGCCTAGCTGAGCTCCAAAGTAATCTCTTGATGCACCTGCAATTTGTGTATCATTCCTGAATATAAATTACTTATTGTCAAGAGGATCATTCTCCTAAATAACATGTCAAACAAACTGACGGGTGGTATAACATCAACATCTCATCGCTGTGAATTGCCTCAAC